TGACGGCCCTCTTGAGGTCCCGTCTTTGAAGGTTTTCCATCGTCTTGGTGCCCTTGCCTCTGTTGGTGCGGACGATCTTGCCTTCGTCATTCCGCTCGACGTTGCGAAGTGACTGCCAGTGGCGAATGTCATGCTCGGTCCAGCCTCGGTCGAGCCAGTGCCGCATTGTGTTGGGGGGTATATACTGGCGAGCCAGCCCACGATCGTCATAGCTGACAATGCGTTGTACACCTCTGTCTTCGGGTACACCTGGACTGTCCTGCATTCTGAGGCGGGCTTCCCCGCGAGCGCTCTCTCCTCGGTGGGGTCCTTGGAGCTCTCATGTCAGGAGGGTGAGGGCGCTGGGCGCCGCTGGGGCGCGCGCGCGAGTGCCCGCGTGAGTGGCCGCGACCGTGGCGCTGCGTGCGTCGTTCTTCAGCTTCCCACTCATCTTCGTCATCATCTGAGCGATTCGCACGTCTCCAGACTTGGCGACTAGCTGATCGCTCATGGCGGCTCGGAGACCGCCCGTGGGCCGCGAACGTGAGATGATGATCTTCATTATGTCCAAGTTCGTACTGGATGCGTCCTGAAAGTTCGCCAGCATCTTGCGAGCCTCGCCGTAAAGGGTCATCATCATATGATTCTATCTTTTATCGGATTGCCAATGACCTCAGGACAGAGCATCATTTGTATTTCCTTATCTGGCGCTGGAATTGTAGCTTCAGACAGAATCCTCAGGTGTCCCCGCCATATGATGATCTACGTCGGCGGGTGTATGGAAATCCTCAACGCATTCGATCTGAGCAGGTTGCCCTTTTACGGCTCGCATCTTTCGGGTTGCCCCGGCGTCCCTTACCCTTTTTCTGAGGCGTGCCTACGGCTCCTGCCTGCACCCAGGAATGATTCTTCATACTGTGGTCCAGTAAGGATGCCAGGAATGCTAGCATACCTCTGCCATGTAATCGCCGTCGTTTGCCCTTTCCCGTGCCTCGGCCCTTGCCTTTCCCCCTGAGCGCCCGTCGGATAGTACGTCGTGCCTTGCGAATTGGCTTCTTCATAAACCGTCTCCATCTGCGTTTATGTTTCTGGTATCCTAGAAACAGCCATTGAGCCTGTTGTTCTTCCGTAAAATACGTGGGCATGTCGGAATAGTCTACGGCGACCATTTTGTCATCTGATGACGTGTCGGTGTCGGTTCCGGAGTCGAAGTCAGACTCGGCGGGTTGCCCCGCTGAGCCTACAAGGGTAGTGGCTTGTGTAGGGGCCGCCGTCGCCAACGGTTCCTGAGATCTAGCCCAGGAGTCTTGCGACCCCTTAGGCAAAACACCATTTTGGGCTAATAGAGTGATGGTCCCCGTTGGTTTCGGATCGTCATTCCAGACGATTGTAGCAAGTTGCCCTGGACTAGTTTCAACATGAAAGGTTTCGGTACGGTGACCGTGGCTAAAGATACCGCCGATATTGTCAGGGGTTCGCTCAGCAATGTGAGCATATGACCTCATGCGTTCAAGTAAAGAATCAATTTGTTGTTGATTCCGCGGCATTTGGTGGTTGAGTGGCTGTAGGAGTTGTTGTGCACGCGACGTCCCCACTCCTAAGGCTCTGAACAGTATAACTGTTAGGATTGGGGAGTTTGGGATGTTAAAGCCTGCCGTTTCAGCCTCGTAGCGGGCTATCTCGAAGCGTGCTAATGTCTGGTCGATCCGTTCTCCCGCATGGACGCGGAAGTCGATGAGAGCCGTTCCCGAGTTAATTTGGCGTTCCTCCTCTAAGTTCTCAAATTTCGTGGCGAGGAGGAGCATGATGTAGGTGGCGCCATCGGTATGACGACCACCAATGTTAGCGCCAAAGTTGATGACTGCGGGGGAACTCTCACGGCTATGATCCGTGCGAGACCTCCCAGACCACGCTGCAGTGCTGCAGCCTGTTGGGAGGGCGTCATATTGCCTGTGGTCACGTTGATCCAGGCATGTGCCTCTGGAACGAATTCGCGGGAAAGTACTTGACCGGAAGGATCCCAGTGGGGGCCGGTTATTCTTGTGTCGTCTCCGTCACGCATGTGTCCCACAGCACACCCGATAGCGACCCATATAAGACAAAACGTAGCAATACCAATCCAATGGCCTCGGTAGGTCGTGGTCGGATGTTTGTGGCTGGGGTTTGGGGAGTTTTGTTGTAAGCCTGCGTGGGGGTGGAGTCGGTACAGTATCGCATCGCATGTTACTATGCATTGTATTCCCAAAACAAATTCCAATTGGAATGGGTGGGTGGACTTTAGGAGTGTAGTAGCGCAGGGATGTAGGACTCGAGTAAGAGGCCTCCGCGAGAGCAGTGGTAGCACTGCAAGTGTCCTTGCGGCTGTGCGTAGTTATGTACATTCCTCCGCGCAGGCCCACTGCACCCGGATGTTCCACCAGGTCAGTAATAGTCCACCGGATAGTGCCGTGGATGGTGAGGAGTAGAGCAAGAGCTGACTACCATAGGCCAGCTCCGCTGCCAAGTTTGAAGGGGGCAAGGAAGCCCTACCAGCAGCTTCGCCTCAGGCGAAGCCCAGCTCCAGCTCTGTTGTACCGTAGTAACGATAAACCCAGTCGGAGGAGGTCGTCGCGGGAACGACGGGCCATCTCAAGCGAAGGTGTTTTCGGTCTCGATGGCAAGTAGTGTGCCTCGCGATGAAGCGCAGTCATATATTGGCGGCCAGCCGCTTGAGCCCAAGCGGCCACGGACAAACGCTCGCTATTTCTCGCCCTTCTCCCAGCTCACTTTAGAGTGGCCCCCCACATCGCCCCAAAACAGCCAAAGAGGATCTCAATACGGCCGCAAAATGGTCACCAAGAAGGTTCCAGAGGCCCCCAGGAGCGCTCCAGAAGAGGGGGAGTCCGAGCTGACATGTCGACCTTCCCCGAAGACCGCCATGAGGCCCCAGGAGGCCTCCCGAGGCCTGCCCAGGAGGCCCCCATGAGGTCCTAGAAGAGCAGCCAAGCGAGGCCCCCGAGAGGGCTTTCAAGAGACCCGAGAGAGCCTCCAAGGAGAGGCCTCTTGTCCACGACCCAGTCTGGCCCCAAGACCGCCCCAAGAAACCATCGACAAGCCGCCTCCTCCTCCTCTTCCTTCTTTTCCTCATCTCCTCCTCCCCCTCCTCCTCCTCCTCCTCCTCATCCTCCTCCTCCTGCACCTCCCCCTCCACCTCCACCTCCTCCTCCTCCTTCTCTTCCTCCTCCCCCTCCCCCCCTCCTCCTCCTCCTCCTCCACTCCTCCCCCTCCTCCTCCTCCTCCTCCTCCTCCTCCTCCTCTCCTCCTCCTCCTCCTCCTCCTCCTCCTCCACCTCCTCCTCCTCCTCCTCCTCCTCCTCCTCCCCTCCTCCTCCTCCTCCTCCTCCTCCTCCCTCCTCCTCCTCTCCTCTCCTCCCTCCTCCTCCTCCTCCTCCTCCTCCTCCTCCTCCTCCTCCTCCTCCTCCTCCTCCTCCTCCAGCTCCTCTCCTCTCCTCCTTCTCCTCCTCCTCCTCCTCCTCCTCCTCCTCCTCCTCCTCCTCCTCCTCCTCCACCCCCTCCTCTCCTCCCCCTGCTCGTCTCCTCCTCCCTCTTCTCCTCCCCTCCCCCTCCCCCTCCTCCTCCTCCTCCTCCTCCTCCTCCTCCTCCTCCTCCTCCTCCACTTCGTCTCAATCAGCTCGGGCTCGAGATCCATTTTGGCCTCTCTCGACGTCCAGCGCTCGGCACCTGCCCGTGGTGCCTGAGGCACACCGCGCCATCCGAGAAACGCCACAGACTTCTGCGCAGCGGGAGATTTCGGAAACCAATTCGGACATCCTGGACGGTTGCCTGGGGGAAGGTACGACCGATCAGCATGTCGTGTCTTTGGGGAGCGCGTCTGGTGGCAAACAATACGAGGGATCCGCGTCATGTTCGGGTCGGTGTTGCCATCACGGCTTTGTCTGGCTTCGACCTGTGTGTGATTCCTTCTGGTGCTTGAATTCGCACAGGGGTATATGGCGTATCTGAAAGACTATGATGCTGATATTTTAGGCTTCTATGTTCGAGTGTACCTTCAGCCTCTCGGAGCCAACAGAGATCTGTGACACGAGAGAGACCGCCACATCACTCAGAGGATCGGTGATGTTTCGCCAGTGCTGCTCGTGCATTCGCACCTCACGGAGGATCAGGCAGATGCGTCTGGCACTCCACTCTGGCTCGTCCCTAGCAACATTTGTGTTGCCACCCTGGCAAATCAGGCAACAAAATCTGCCCGCGTGCCGGATGTCATCCAGGCGAAGGTCATGCAGATCAAACGGATGGCCTATCTCGTCAAGCACCGCCTGCGCAGGGCGAGCCTGGATAGACCATGCAGGCCGAGAGATCGGCGGGAGCACCTCCGAGGATCAAGGGTCCTCCTCCTCCCCCCTCCGCCTGCCCCACCTCTCATTCGTGCTCTGCTCCCTCGGCATGGGCTCGACGTGTTTAAACACAGGTCCAGAATTTGTCAAGGGTCGGCCTACAAGGCCACTGCCTCTGAGTTGTGGGCCTCCCCTTGCTTCCAACCCCTTAGTATACATTCGAAGTTTTGTTCTACACCTGAGGGTGGGCGGCTTCATTCACATCGCTGGGGGATGGGTGGAGGGGGCGCAACAGAGAGGTTGTCCAAGACTTTAAAAGTTTGGTTCTGTATGTCATGTGGTCATGTCGCTCATTCGCAAATCCGCGAGTTAACGAAACCATGCTCTCATCGGGTTGACCCTCATCGGCGGGAGTACCTTAACTGCATCGAGGGAGACAAGCGGCCTAAGCAGCTTAGCAAGGCTGGGCAGCTTCCCCGTTCGTAATTCCATTTCGACCACGACGTGGGACTGCTCGAATCTCGAAGGTCTCCTAATCCTCGTTCTCCTCCTCCAACTCCTCTTCCTGCTCCTCCTCCTCCTCCTCCTCCTCCTCCTCCTCCTCCTCCTTCTTGCTCGCCACAGCACGCTGCCAAATAGCTACAGTGCTGCAACGTGGGCCGGCGGAGCGAGCGAAGCGATTGAATACCTGCCCTGTCTGATCACAGATGAGGATGGTGCAGCCGCTGCACTCCTCCACTTGGAAATCTACACCGCTCATGCCCCCGAAGGCCCCGGGCTTGCGTAAGAGCACGCAGTCCTTGCGCTTCGACATGGAGTATGGGTTGAGGTCCCCCCTAATGCCCTGCTTGAATGCCTCCATGGTCACGCCTGATGCTCCGCCCTGGGCCTGGTGGAAGGCGACGATCTCCGCGTCGCCGTATCCAAGGAAATCTCCGAGGTACTGGCGCAGGTCCGCTAAACCCAGCGCGCCGTCGCCGTCGGCGTCGGCGTCCTCAAAAACAGCCGCGAGGTCCTTTGGGCGGTGCAGCGGGGACTTGCCCTCCAACTTACGCACTGGCCGCGCGGGCGGCTCGGCGAGGGGCTCCAGAGTGCCCCGGCGCGCTGCGCTGGCGTCGTCGGAGACAAGCCGCCTCTGTGGCCCAGAGCGCACAGGCAGAGGCGGTGCGGGAGGCCGAGTCTGCGGGATCGCCGTCAGCGAGTCGCCGTGTCCCTCGGTGGCCCGCGGCGGCGGCGCGATCAGCAGCTGATGCGTGAGCTCCGGCGCGGGGCCGTCGGGCTGGTCGGAGCAGCGCTCGAACGCAACCACCAGCTTCTCGCACTTGTCCAGCGGAAGTATGCTCCAATTCGCGCCGTCGGCGCGACCGGTGAAGTCGAAGATGGCGCTCCAGAAGTTTCTGCCGGCGTCAAACCCTGCCTGCTGGAAGTGCGTGGACAGCCCGGGGTACTCGGCCGCAAAAGGAGCAAAGGACAAGTCGGACGAACTCTCGATCACAGGCTCGGTGTGCGAGTGGAGGTAGAAAGTGCAGCTCTCACAGTCCCTAGTTCGCAACTGCCTGCAGGCCAGCCAGAACGTGCAACCCTTGCAATTACGCGCGAAGATGGAGGAGTCGCATGGACCAACGAGCACCAAACAATCGAGGAGCTCGTCCAAATATTCGCGGGCCCAGCGGGCCAGAGGCGTGCTAGAATGTCCGGTAAGAGCTCCGGAATATTTCTAGTTCGCGCGCGCGGGGCGGCTCCTGGGGCTCCCCAGGCGAAAAATACATTGCGAAATTCCTGGAAATCCTGGGCCAGAGATTCTTCTTTCTTCCGGGCTGAGGTCGGGCATGTCCTCCTGCAGGCGAGGCGGGTTTCGGAAGGCAAATAAAAAGAGTGAAATAATCACCAAACATAATCAGAAGAGCAGGAGAAATCGTCACCATACTACCTTTTTTATCGATTCTCGATTTTTTCAACTATTCTCGATTATTCCTCCTGTGCAGGGACATGCCCGACTTTCCTCTGGGCATGGCCTGCAAGGCTCCCAAGGGCGCCCCGCAGGAGACGCAGGAGGCTCCCAGAACGGGCCCTACCGAGGGTGACAAGACGGTCCAGTTGCGCGCCAAGAGGGCCGAACAAGGCCTCAAGAGTGCGGCTGAGGGTCCCAAGACGGCCCCGGAGCGTTCCAAGATAGCCCGATATCGCCTTCTGTGGATGCTGGCGACAGTCTGCACGATGCCTCGGCGCCCTCGGCGGGAGGCCGAGAAAATAATGCAGGGTGAAAAAGAAACCGGCCAAAAGGCCCCCAAAGAACGCTCCAAGAGGACACCCGAGAAGGCCCCAATAGGGACAACAATCATTGTTTGTCCTTCTAGATTCTCGAGATCTTGCTTGCCCAAGAAGACTCTGGAAGCCCCTGGGATAGCCCCAGGGGGGGAATCCGAGCTGATATGTCGAGCCCTTCCCCAAGAGGTGACAAAACAGAAAAAGCCTCCGAGAGGCCTTCCCAAGAGACCCGAATGAGCCGCCAAAGAGAGGCGTCTTGTCCTCGTCCCAGTTTGGCCCCAAGAGTGCTCGCAAAAAGCCATTGAGAAATCTCCTCCTCATCCTCCTCCTCCTCCTCCTCCTCCTCCTCCTCCTCCTCCTCCTCCTCCTCCTCCTCCTCCTCCTCCTCATCATCATCATCATCATCATCATCATCTCCTCCTGCCTCTCCCCATAGCCATTTTGGCTCAAACCGTTCTGGCTCAAGCATTTGCGCGCTGAACTTGCAACACCATACCTCTTCAGACCTGCCAGAGGCTGTTGCGAGCCTTTTCGACTTTTCATTTTGTGAGCTCATGTCGGAGCAAGATACCCGCCTCCGAGGGAGCATCCATTACCGACGGGCCTATTTCCCAAGCCCGAGGCAACACTTCTGGTCGTGCGGCGGCTGCGGTCTCACCACGAACTGGGCGCCAATGGTGCAATGCAGATGCGGCAGGGTGGCCCCGACACACGTTGTCGCAGCTGCGAAGCGAAATGCGAAGAAAAATAATGGTGACCGTTCTCCTACTATGTCTGGACGTCCTTGTGGGCCTGGTGGAGGGGGTGGACAACGTCATGATCAACTTCAGAAACAGCTCAATGCGCTCCAAAAGTGCTACGATCAGATGCGCAACAATACGGCTATGTATACAAAGATCAGTCTTCCACACATGCTGCTGGCGGCGGCGAACCAACACCAAGGATGTCGGCAACGAAATGCAGCTACGTGATCATATCAAGGGCTACGATCGCGCCATCCATGCCGTCGACAAGATCGGAGCGGGTGGCGAGACATGCTCGGAAGGCGTTGGTGGCATGCCAGCCAGCGCTAACACAACACGCCAACACAGGACACAAGCTGACCAAATCTGAGGCCAAGAATGAGAAGCTTGAGAAGGACATCAGCGAGCAACTGTTGTGCATCCAGTAGGCGCAGGAGACCCTTGCCAGCTTGCGCGTCCAACGGATTGCACGTGACAAAGAGATCGGAGTTCTACGCCAAAAACCAATCGAGGCGATGCCTGATAAGCCTCTTACCCACCCTCATGTTAGCTTTGAAGGGATCGAAGCTGGTGAGGACAATGAGGCGGCCCAAATTCTGCTGCAATCCGAGGCGTTCCGGAAATGCAAGTTGCTGGACCGCCAGGTGGCCAAAGTAATCAACGCGGCAAGATCGTCCTCGAGGCCGACAGCGAGCCTATTCCAAGACGATGACTATGTGGAGGTGGTAGATGCTGCTAGTCGGGCTGCTCGGACCCAGTCTCCTTTCGCAACACACCCTGCAGCTGGAGCAATTGAAGTACGAACCTTCTACCTACACGCTGACGGCCCAGAACTGGAGGACATATGGATTTGTGCACAACCGGTTGAGAAACGTGGGGTAAGTGAGAAACTTGCCGCTCTGTCTATCAAAAAGCAACGCCGTCTTCAATACTATTGTGCTGCTATGTTGCGGCTTGCCCTTGCCCAGACGTGGCACGCCTGTCCCTCCTCCACCTCCGCCTCGTTACTGTGAGACGTTTTGCGTGTATGGCTAGGGGAAAAACCGTTGAGTGCCACAATGGGAATGCTGGGTCCACCATGCGTGAAACGCTGACGGCCACCGATGCACTCATTGTTCTTGCTGAGGGGATCGGCTTCACTGAGATGCGGCTGGCAAACTCGACTGGCGCATGTTGGCGTCACCGTCTGTTCCAGGACTGACGGGTAAACCCAAATGGGGGGTGGCGGTTTTAGCTTGGCAGAGTTTGGGCCTCAGGTGGCCTGACGGCGGCAACGGTGTAATCGAACCAAGAATGGCGATCGAGGTTGTGGTCGATCCCCCCCCCTGGCATCCCGTTACCATTGTTACTGTGTACCTGAAGTCTGGCACGGGGCCCTGGGAGCTGAACCTCAGAATTTTGACGCAGATCGGACAGGTGCTGTAGCATGAGCATCTTTCTTTGACGGCGGCGACTGGAAGCTCGAACCCCACCTCTTGGTATCTTCGGGGTTACCCCGCCGCCTTGAAACTGCCTTATTCGTGCCCAGGGAAGGTGCGTGTGTGACCACCCCCCAGCCTTTCTCGACGATCTATTATTTCCTTGCGTCCATCAAATTGTCTAAGGCCATTGAGAAGGTCCAAGTGCCACCACGTGGACTGGAAGCTCCCACATACCAGACATATTATATCTACGTGGTCAAGCCATACAGACGTATCAGCTTACGTATCGTTGTCAGCAGCGCCTGCACGTTGAACTGCCCACGCCCCAACCGCAAGATTGGAGCCTTGCACGGGACATCGCTGAATGTGCGGCGCACGCCGCCACCAACGACATCATCGGACAGGCCAGGGACATTTTAAACCAGGCCTGAGCCAACGCGTTAGAATTTGAGCTTTGGGTCTGTTACGGGCTGTAAGGTTACCAGAAGGGGACGCAATAAGGCTCGTTGTATCCCCTTTTTCCCGAAGCCCCAAGGTGAGGTTCAGAATCTGGTGGACAAGGGATGGGAATGGCCTGCCAATCACTTGAATGAAACGTTAGGTTTGGCTAACAGGCTCCAGGAGGGACTCCAAGACCCCAATCAGGACCCTTGTAAGCTGGATCAGCTTCAGCAGGACACCATTCAGCTTATTCAGATCATTGTCTCTCAGCCCTGCACTGGTGAGGGTCTCGGCATTCGCCTGGACAGTACGATTGTACAAGCTCGCGAGATCTAGGCGATGAGAGCCACCTCGGACGTGTGGCCCACCAACTTTGACAACTTCCTTGCCTCGTGGGAGGAGGATCTCGAGACGACCGTCAAGGCCACCAGCAAGAGTGACCAGGACTCCTGGGACGAATGGCAGGAGAAAGCGTCGAGGGGAGGGGCCAAAGCTATGCACAAACCCACGAATCTCTAACAAAAGTGAATTCCCACCGTCATTCAGACTCTCTCATCCTGGAATGCTTTCGGCGCGTTCCCGTGATCTGCTTGAGGCGGAGAGTTCGGCGCTGGCTGGTTTCTGGCGTGTCCACACCACCCTCTCACCTGTCCACGTTCTCGACAAGAACCATCTTCCGCGCCCGACCGCAGGATAGACTCGAAGTGCCAGCTTCAGCTTCTCGGCGCTCACGTCACAGTCTTTGGACGGCCTGCGCCCCAGACAGCTGTCATTGGTTTCGGGCGAAGAGTTACACATCTTTGGAGCGACCTTTCAAGCCATCGAGTCCTTGGGGTTGTTCCCGAAACACTTGTTCTGGCTGTTATTCCCCTCTCGAAGAAATTCAAACGGGGCTTGAAGCCTAGATTGTTGAGTGCTGGTCCTGTCCGCGTCTGGGAGCGCCTCAGGAGGCCTTTGCTGACTAAGTTTAGCGAACTGCATCCTACACGTTTCTGGGCCTTCTCCTCCGGCCGCAGTGCCGAGGATGCCGTGTAGCACGAAGCTGTCCGTTCCGAGGTTTTGGCGCGTAATGGTAAAGTTTTCCTGGGAATCGCTTGGCACGGGACTTCGTACATTGAAAGTTTTGATATGGACCTCCTTGGGGAGCGCGCGTTGAGGTTTCGTTTTGGCCCCGTGTTTGGCAAAGTTGCGTGCTTTTTTTCGTAAACATTGCTTGCGCTTAGGGGCTCTTTCTTCTGGTCTAGAAGAACTGGGCTTGTGTGTCGGTCTGGCGGCTCCGTGCTGGCCGTCGCCGCCCCTTCGCCCCCCCGTTGCCCGGGCTTGTGTCGGTCTGGCGGCTCCTCGCGCCGTTGCTTCGCCGTCGCCGTCGCCGTCGCCTTGTTTTGCGTTGCATGGTTTTGCGTTTTTCTTCTATGTGCGGAATCACTGCATTCCACCATGTAGATTCTCCTTTCTAACAAATAGACTCTACCCCCCCCCGGACTTATCGGTTCCCCCTGGGAGAATATGACTTCATATATATATATATATATATATATTCTGCACACTCGTCCATCCTAAATATGAAACCATACCATCCCAGCTAGGCCGGTTTCCCCCCCTGAGGTTCCCTTGTAAAACACACGATGCGGTGACATTTTCTGTTCCAGCATAACACTTTTTCACGAATCCCTTGCAAAAAAA